CCGGAGCCGAGCTGCTGGAGCGGCGCGCGACGACCGCCAGTGGGCCTGGCAGTGTCCGCCGATCCAGACCTCGCTGCCCGGCGCGCTCATTGCTGAACACCATGGTAAGTGCAGCGGGCGGCCGGCACGCCGGCTACGACCGGCCACGGCTGGTATGACATCGAGGCTCGACTACGGCGGCCAGCCGCGCGCCTCCCGCGCCTCCCGTGCTTTCCGTGCCTCTCAGGTCTTGGCCGAGAAAGATCAGCGATCGAAACTGCTGTCAAGCTGCCACCGGCGCCGGGTTGGCTCTGTGGTTCTGGTGCAATGCGAAGAGGCGTCGAAGCCTCACCTAAGTGGAAGTCGGAAGAGGATTACAGCCAGTATGGACTATGGTAGAAGACTGTAACTAAATACGCGGATGTGGGGTATTGAAAGTGACTCGTGGTCATGAGGAGTACGGAAGTGAAAGATGATATAAAGCAATTGACAACCAAATCAAACCCTAAATGACTTACGCTTAGCTGGTATGGCTTTGATACTTCATTGCATGAATATTGAATATGCATTGACTTATAAGGCAATAAGTGTGACTTATTCCTATATGAAATAGACTTCCTTTTTCATTGACAGGTCAAACATTTGTCGATAGATGGACAATGGGGTGACCTTTGGTAGCAAAGTGGGCTGCGTCACTTGCAGACACGTGCACTCTTTTCCACTGTTTTCTTCCGGGTGTCACAAAAAAAAACTATGGCAGAGATGGCATCACTTGATATCACACAGTACTCTCTTTTTAGTTTCGATTAGTTGAACCATAGTATACCCATATTGTGGGCTGTGCAGTGTTCAGCACACTTATTTTTGGCTTTATTGTCGATTCTTACACAATTTTCTGGCTTTTGCAGTTTGCTACTATTTACATTTCAGTCACTCTTCAGCCACCTTTTGACATGTTGCTTATACATTGTAGGCGCAAAAAAAATGTTCGCAGGCTGGAACAGAAGCACATCATTCACATGCCACCCATAGGCTAGGGAATAGGGTTAAAAATGACATCGTTCGGTCGTATACATCGTCGAATATAGCCACCAGCCAGCCGAGCCGGGCGAATGCGCCGGTCTGGTCTGGGTAGACTGTGCCGCAGTGGTCCCGTGCGCTGCGGCACAGCATGCAGCTGCTGTTCCAGGCGAGCAGCCGAGCATGAGGCGAATTTTCAGGCAGATGACGACTGCGAGTTGTAACTTATGACTGTTGCGATAGGTACTCATAGCAGTATGATTCCACTTCTGATACCAAAAGTCAAAAAGGTATTACTAATCGCTTTTCTTCATGGTGCTCAAGTCGCATGGCGCTTGCATATTTGAATAGCCTTCGATGAACGTGATGGTCGAATTTAATGTTGTCGAAATTTTAATTTACTGTTGATGCTGGTTGCCGGTTCTGACCCATTCATGGGAGGAAAGACAGCAGGTCTCCGCCGAAAACGCAGCCTATGGTGTGAAGTGTTCAACAGTCATCAGCAGACTATTAAACGGTGAACAGTGTTTGCTTAACAAACAATATTAAAAGTGTGCCAGACATCTTGAGTTTAACGAAACTCGTAATAAGATCCTCAAAGTATGCAGATGATTGATGATTGAGTGACGACGCTGTAGGTATAGGTTCCAGGTGCTTGGTGACGCTGCCACGCACACATTAAACATTGGATTAGGTATGATTAGGCATGGCGTGTTTGTAAGTGACAACATTCCAAATGATGCAGCTGCAGGTCCAATGCAAGACGTGTAAATTGTAAATCAAATCCAAGCTGCAACAAATGTTGAGCTATCCAGTATCCATGAAGCGTCATTTTGTTGAGACTTTGCGTTAGGATCCAACGAAAGATCCTCCCCGTCAGGCGTCGCCTCACTCCAGTTTACGCTCGACCTCGTCAGGTGTCCATGGGTGTCGTTCACCGGTCCTGGCTGGTCGGTCGGTGCCAGTGAGTTGTCCTGGAACGGTGCCCCGCCACGCCCGGCTGGTGCCCCCGACCTGTCACCGACTCGTCATCCCTGGCGCCGCGGCTCCGTAAAATTAGACCTGTCCCACTGCCGGCCGGTCGGCTATATTTGAACGCCAGACCAACTGGCAGAGCGCTGGTGACTGAGGTTAAAGGTTTAACGGATTCTGGAACCAGTACTGGGCTGGGGCATCGTAAAGTCCCACAGAACACTTACAAATATGAAATTGTTTGCGCTGACGAAGTTTCTGTAGGCATGATTGTTGATTTTTTCTTTTTTGCTGGGCTATTTTTTGCTAAGTTTTGGAACAACCAAACTGATCGAAGCATGCCAAATGATTGCTAACGTATCTTTGTTGTGAATTTCCGTATTTTTTCATGAGTTATGATAAAAAGCAATTTGTTCTAAAAAATTTCAAGCGAATCTTCTGTTTGTCAAATAATCGAGGAAAAACTAATGAAAAACATGAACCAATATCTGTTTGCCTTGCGCTTTTATATGTAATTCGTTTTTTAAGCTGGGTGAGATAAGCACGATGGAATTCTGCAACATTCTTGAACTAATCGTTGGCTACCTCTTTCCTTCTTGCTGACAAATGGAATCCCGTAGCAATGGTGAACAGCTCGTCGTAAATCACCTGACCGTGACGGCGCTAGGACTTGGTCCTTGCCATCCCCGGCCAAGAATTACACTGCGATGACAGTGACGAACTGCAGCGATGTCGTCGCCCGCGGATTGCCAACGTCCGGGCCTCTCTGTTGACAGCGCTGCCAGCGCCGTCGGTCAAACTATTTCCGTACTGTCATTTGTCGCTGCCCGCCAAGACGGGTTCTCTGACATATCAAACGGTCAAGGGATTGATCTGATTCGTGGATTTTGCCAACCGGGCTTTGAAATTTGGCACCGTTTTACGCATTTTGGTCTCTTTCACAGGCTGACGAGAAGGAGAAGAAGAAGAAGAAGAAGAAGAAGGAGACTGAGGAGGCTCCGGCCCCGGAGCCCGCTCCCGCACCGGCCCCCGAGCCGGCCAAGCCCGCCGCCAAGCCCGCTTCCAGCAAACGCAGCAGCGTAAGTCAGCGACAACTTTGACGGTTAACGTTATCGTATTTACAAAAAAATGTTTTGATGCTGAATTTTAAGTCACGTTTTAAGTTAAGTTTCGTAACTCAGTTGCACGTATATTTTTTTACTTAAATATTTATTGTTGGTAACATATACAGTACACTAAGAATTCGTGGAATTTTGATAAAATACTGGCGTCCGATAATTGTACCAATTATTTTGTTTTGAACGTGACTTATCTTGATCAAACGACGAAGACTCTGGTGGACAGCGTTATAGGTATGTAATAGTTAGGTATATTTAATAGAATAACCTTCCTAAAAAAATCTTGAATCGATGAAGGAACGCCTCCGAAAGATATTCAAGTGTTTTTTGTGACTTATCTTATCGTAAATCAATGTCGTCTTTAAGCAACAAAGCCTTAAGTCACAGTGATATTAGCTTATCATGCAGCTTCACAAAAAAAAAACGTGCTCAAAGTTTCATTTGCACCAGTACGTAACTATTCGTATCCCGGCGTTCTCTTGACAGTCGAAGCGGTCAAGCAAGAAGAAGGGCAGCAGCGTCTTCTCCTGCTTCTCCCAGCAGCAGGTCAATGAGTTCAAGGAGGGCTTCCAGCTGATGGACGCCGACAAGGACGGCATCCTCAGCCACTCGGACATCCGCAGCTCCTTCGACATCATCGGCCGCATCGCCTCCGAGAAGGAGATCGAGGAGATGCTGGCCGACGCGCCGGGCCCCATCAACTTCACCATGCTGCTCTCCATGTTCGCCAGCCGGCAGTCGGGAGAGGCTGACGACGACGACGTCATCGTCAAGGCCTTCCAGGCGTTCGACGAGGGCGACGGCACCATCAACAGCGACACGTTCCGCCACTCGCTGATGACCTGGGGCGAGAAGTTCACCGCCAAGGAGGTGGACGAGGCGTTCGAGCAGTTCGACATCGACGACGACGGCAAGATCGACCTGGCCGGCGCGCTGGAGCTGCTCGTCGGCGGCAAGAAGGAGGAGGAGGGCGAGGCGGCCGCCTAAGCACGACCTGTGTACGTGTTCCCACGGAGACAGGACGGAGAGGGGCGGGCTGGGCTCGCACGACATATACTAATGTATGGGCTACCTATAAGTAAACGGGTTCTCCTTGCATAGACAACGCCATCGATAGGACGAGTCTGTGCTTCACTGCTTAGGCTGTCTTCACTGTCCAGGGTAAAAGAAAATGTAGGTATCGAATAGTCTGTTCTGGTGCAGGCTATCAATCTTTTTAACGGTTATCAATATATAAATGTTCACAAGAATTGGTTTATCATATATACGTTTCTGTTCCAGGCGAGCTACATTTTCATTCGCCCGGTCGCCACCTGGGCCTCCTCATGCCTCACTCATCACAAAACCTGAACATCTTCACCCTCGGAACCACCGGTCGCCCGAGCCAATCAGCGACCAGTCTCTGCCGCGGGAGCCAATCAGCGGCGAGCAGCCCTTGCACGGCAGCTACATCGGAATGCTAGTGAACACCGCCTGTCTGGAACGTCGATTCACAGTGTATCTAAAGCTGTCCTACCGGATCGGCAGGAATGGGCCCGATTACACTCTCGGCGGGAACCTGTCTCGATGTTGATAATTGTCTGTATGAAATGTTGATGCCTTTGTTAATTTTTGGACATTATGCTGTGGATCGGGCACAGAGCCTTGAATCGGTGCTCAAGACTCCGTGTCTTATTGAATGTGTAATACGGGCCTATTGTATAAATTCGAAAATACCACCATGTGTTTAGTGAGCGTTTGGCTAGTGACACGGCTAAGGGTTAAATGCCGTCGATTCTTCAAACGCAACACTTGTTTGTCTGATGTCATGCATAAAAAACGGGTTATCGTCGCCCTCACTTTCTCTCTCCCAGTAGCTAACAGATTACCATGAAGTGATGCAGATATGTCTTCCATTCTGGAAAAATCCCGTCGATTTTAAGGTTTATTTGTGATCTGTCACAATGTTGTCACACGCTGCACACCGAATGCACAGGTCATGGAACTAGCAACAACCAACAGTGGCCTATATATACTTCATGGGAATACTTGACGGCGTGCAACTCCACCGCTCGGGGCGGAGGGCCACCCAACATGCCAGCACTCCATTCACAAAGTATGGTAACAATAAATAGATATGATGGCGGTACGATGGAAAACGAGAGATTCGTTCGCTCTTCGGCGGCTAAAACCTTGAGCACGGTGCGCCACCCATGCGTCCAACACTCGATCTGCGTCACACATCCGTCTCAGGCGCGCCACATTCACACACTCGCAGGCAGCAGCGCGTCTCTAGAAATTTCGATGGCCTAAGACGGTTTGAACTCGATCGCGCGCAGCCCCAGTGACGGCGACTCGTTAACAGTGACGTCACACGACGCCGCGTGACGTCACCGTATCGATGTGACGTCACCGTTCCACTCGGCCCGGGTTAGCTGCTCACACACTGCCCAGTCTGTTCGCCGGCACGCGCGCACGGTGTCCGCTGGCGCGTCACCCGCCCCGCCGTCTGAACGGTGGGTGATGGTGGCGGGAGACAGCCGACCATCTCCGGAGCCGCCCGCACGGACCAGCTTCAGATAAAATGAAGCCCGCCGGCTGGAGACTTAGTTGCAGTTCGGCGTCGGGCACTTGACTGGAAACGAGGAGAAAGGGAGTCAGTTAGTTAATTGGCATGTTATTTGAGCGTGGGAGCTGATTTTTCCTCGGAGTTGTTATTGAAACGTTCGTATATCTCGAAACTGAGTCATAAGTCCACAGCAAACATATCAGCCTGCGACTTTTTATGTCTCTTGTTATTTGTTATAGATGTTAGCCACTCTTTACCTCACTATCGATCTCAAGCACCCCTCAGTACCTCCTCCTGACCCTCTTCACCAGGCCTGACTTGTCCTCCCACCACACTAGCGCCACCTACACGGCCCCTCCCAGCCACTACCGTAGCGCCATCTGCCAACTCACCGCAGTGTCCGAGCCTGTAAGCGTGTCCCTCGGGGCACTTGTGACAGCAGAGCGACGCCTGGGCCTTGTTGCGCTTGCCCTTGCGCTGCCGGATGGGCAGCACGAGCTCAATATTGTCGTAGTCGATGAGGGTCATGAAGGCGTTGTCCTCGGTGACGGTGCTGAGCGCCTCGCTGACGATGTCGATGAAGCCCTCCTGGTCAGTGATGTTGTAGACGGGTGTGTCGATGGTGAGCACGACGTCCATCAGCGGGCGGCCGTCCTTGTCCAGCTGTAGGGGGAGACGATAGCAGACGTCAGAGAGGCAGTCGGAGACGGTGGGAGAGCAGGTGGAGAGGCAGTAAAATCGGTTGCACCGTTACTTATTGCCGTCTGTTGGGGAACAACCATATGGTCGAAAGTACTGTATTATGTTTGCTACGTTTGTGGACTAAAGTACCAGCTATCTAGCCAGACTTCCTCCAGCTTTCAAACAACATCAGAAGCCGGGTTATTATGTTCACGAGCTGGCTTCTCAGCTCACTGTACTCCGGCAGCGAAATCATTATTCACCGGTCTTTATATCTATCAAGGTGCTGCTGAGGTTGCCGTTTACTCACGGAGGCCTTGGTGGAGAGGTCGGAGACGCCACACTCCTCCGGGTACGGGCAGAAGATGTCGTTGTACTTGTAGACCAGTCCGTCGAACTGGTGCTGCAGCGACTCGACCGACTCGCGCTGGTAGGTGATCTTGTACTGCAGGTTGGCAGAGTACACGGGCACGATCTCTGCCGGAATCAGAGACAGGGAAGGTCAGTCAGGCGGCACACACAATGGTGGACGGGCGAACATCGGTAAATCAGCGTCTAACGATTGTTTTATAAGTCCCAGTGCTTATCTTAACGCAGCATCGGTACTGGAAAAAGCAAACAAAAGAAATAAAATCTTAAAAGAAAAAACGTTCCGAAAATGAACAAACATGACACCGCAAAATGCATTAGATTAAGTAGCATGAAAAAGCCGTCTACGTAAGTCTCAGACAGTCGGTTCGAATCCCACGACTGCCGAGAATTTTATTCTACTCACGGTAGCACTCTGGCGCGCTGCCCTCGGGGCTCCACTGTCCGCCGGCGCCGCAGTCGTACTTCTTGGCGGGCGGGTCGAAGAAGCCGTAGCCCTCCTCGCACTGGGCCTGGCACATGGAGCCCTTGCTCCAGAGCACCTGGTTGTTGCAGTCGCCGTTGGCGTTCACCTCGGAGACACCGCGGCACAGCGTGGTCGTGTGCAGAGGCGCCACGAAGTTGGGGCACGTCTCCACGTCTGTCGACAGAGATCGGGGAGATGTTAGATGCAGGAAAATGACACATGGTTAGTGTGCCACTCTTTTACTGACAAAAGTTGACTATGTGAAGACTTCAACATTCTAGAAATAGCTTCAACAAAATGTTTGTGCAAGAAATGCGTTATTGAACAACAACATAAAAAGTACCAGTCATAAGTCATTTCATCGTTTTCGTTTCCCACTCTTCCCGACGTTGTTTATTTCTTACCGACAGCCTGGTTGACGGTGGCGGCGGGTCCGAGCTGAGAGTCCTCCAGGACGGCGGCCACCGAGAAGGTGTAGTCCACGTTGGGCTTGATGCAGTAGTCGCACACGGCCGGGTTCATGTCGAACGTGCACTGCTGCTCGTCACACTGCGGGCGGAGCGGAGACCAGGGTCAGACACGGCGCGTCGCAGCTCGATGGGCATGGGAACGGTCCGGCCGGCCGCCAGCCAACGGTCCGGCCTCGGCGTCGTTAGTTAATTGGAACGGCTTACAGTTGTTACCACACCGTGTGGCTTGTTTCTTCGGAACGTGACGACGAAAAATGAGCAGACTTGGAGAAAGGGCAGCTTGCAGTAAACAGCAATAAAAATCAGTGGTCGCGGCGAGATAAACAACCACGACAGCGGTATCAGGTGGGGCGGTCGGCAAACCGGTCGGCTGCAAACCGGGGGGCGGAGGGATTTAGCCGATCTGCCAGAACGATCAGAGAGGAGCAGAGGGGAAGGGGGAGACGTCGAAGGTGACCGCTCGTCCCATTCTCTGCAAACCCATCTTCGCTTTGTTTTACAAACTGCGAACTCAGCTACCCCACCACCAGGCCCACTATCTGGTTACCTTGATCTCGGTGTCGTAGCTGGTGGTGCCTCCCAGGATGACCATGATGTAGGAGCTGAGGTCGCCCTCGCAGGCCGGCCGGTCCCAGGTGATCCGGATCCAGGAGACCAGCTCCGAGACGCGCAGGTTGTTGGGCTTGCTGGCCTCCACATTGTCAGCTGTAGCGGGGACGGGAAGGTCAGATGGGGCAGGTCACGGTCAGGTCGGGGGTTTGTGACGGTGCATGCTCGGCACCAGGCACGGAGACCGGAGTCAGTGGCGCAAATCGTGACTCAAAGCTCGCCTTGGTAACGGACAAAACCTCGGCACAATGGGACCTCGGCCTGTGCGAGTCATGAACACTATGAGTTACATTATAGCCACGGAGCAAAGCACAATGAAAAGGCCCGGTAAAAGGCAACGGAACAAGCACCAAAAAACGTCAACAGCATAAGTCCACTAGCAATGCAGTCAGCGAAAGTGCAGCAGCCTGCCTACCTACAGTAAAGCTACCACACAGCATGTATTTCGTACAAGAAGTCAAAGCGTTCGTCACGCGATGCAGGATGAGAAGCCACAAGAACGTCGCGCCTGGCAGCCTACAAGTCATTCCACGAGCGAGCGTCTAACTTTCCCTGAAATCGGCTGCGGACCGATCACGGCGCTAGCGTTTCCGCCACTGTCGCTTGCATGCTTCCGGGGTCGGCAAGAATTGCCCCCGGCACGTGAGCTTCTCACGCCCTTCGGTCCAGCGAGAGCGAAAGAAGCTCGCATGTTACACAAGTGAGTGCGCGCACCGCTGCACCGGCGCCGCGCCGCTGCGTTCCCAAGGCGCTGGACTCATTAGGCTGCGGCCGACGCCAGTGAAAGTGCTGCTCGATCTGCCGCGGACACCAGTAATGAGCGCCATGGGAGCCGCAGACAGCCACGGCGACGGCTTACTCCGTTACCCCGTCATCGCACCCACCCGCCCGTGCTTCGGGCACAGCAAACGTAATGCGTCACAAGTGCGTCACAGTCCGTCACGACGGCTCGGCGTGACGGCACCGTCACGTCATGTCACGTCTGAAAATCATCGGACGGCCTACCGCTCTTCTGGCAGATAAAGTACTGCAGCTTGTGGTTGCCGGGCAGCGCCTGAAGTTTGTACGGGAACTGCTCCTTTCCGTCGAGCAGCGCGCCCACCGAGGCGCCCGTCAGGCTCGGGATGCTGTTCCACTCGTTGTCCGTCTCCGGCACAGACCAATCACAGAACGAGTTGCTAATGCACCGGGTACCGTCCGCGTACCTCCATCGGTTCGGCTCGACGCAGTCGGCGCTGAAAACAGAGGCACGGACGCGGTCAGACGACAGTGACGAGCGCGGGTCAGACGTGACGTGGACATGACGTGAGAACACGGGCGCCGGCGGACGGGCCTGTCCGTCTAAAACCGGACGGTCGGCCGACGGGATGACGAGCCGACCCGTCCGCCTTTCACCGGTTCGGCAAAAACAGGCGCGCCTCAAAGTGCTGACCTCCGATGTAATTTGCGACAACGTTAAATCTTTCGATCTTAAGTGGTCCAATCTTGGCCATCACATGAGCATAAGCGCACGCGATAGGCGATGAGTTTCACAAACTGCAGGTGTCCAAAAGCTTACGGTGACTATTTTGGGGTCATCATTGTTATCTCTCTCGGCTAAAAATCTCGATTTTAGTTGTGGGTGTTTTGTAATGGGACCTGCACATTTATGTTAACAAATGCTTAGTCGGCCTGATAAGGATCCCTTCGAAAGATTTAGCAAATTCAACCAGGACTTTTCGCTTTCTGATCAGTAAAATTCGACCCACCGGTACTCGTGCGGTCTACAGCGGAAGTATGTGGGATACTTCAGAAGACGGTTCTCTCCCGCCCAGGGTTCATCCCTGTGGAGCCATTCACGCGCGCCGATTTCACAAACCGGCCTCCCACCGAAGCGAACCGCTAATCGCTCCGAAGGAGGCGCGGCCTCCCCGCGGCAGCGGAGGTCGACCATCGAGTTTTCCCTGCGCGCGATTCCGGTTGATCTATGGTGGCGGCGCGGCCCGGGGACGGACTTTCTCTCCGGATGTCGGCGGCGGGCGTGGTGCCGGCAGAGGACCCGTGCTGATCGGATCAGCGCTGAGCGGGACCGAACCGGTGCGCGGAGAACACCTGCCCGTCAGCGGCGCCGGCCGGCGACATTCCGCCGACCCGCTCCGCGGCGACCAGATGTGACGGACAATGACAGCGAACGGTCCGTGTGCGCGGGGCAAGAAAATAAGCCGATCCGGTCGTCAGACATTGCCCGACGAATCCAAAGCTCTGCGTTTTAACTGGCTCGCATAATGCCGGCATACAATGCACGTGCTTTCTGCACAAAGCGGTTTAGGATCTAGTCTTGCGTATTGTGCAGCGTCCTGTTCTTGCATTAGCAACACAAATGGCGACGTTTGCAACCACTGCAGTTCATCGACACTTTGGCGAAACACTCGTTGCATTTCAAATCGCGGAATGTACTGATAGTCAAATCGCCGCCCTCGGGAGCGCGTGGCGTATGTCGGGCACGTGGCGAGTCGTGCTCTGACCCCTATGCGCGGCCACGTCTGAGTTCTAACACGGCTTCGTCTGGCTCCTAACACGGTCTATCGCCAGTTTCATCTGCGCCGGGCGGAGAGAAGCACCGCGCGTCCGGCACTGCTGGTGATCTCTGACACGACAAAACGCGGTCAGCGCCGCCGGCGACGACACCAGCCGCTTTCACTGGTGTCACTGTGATCGGTCCGTGTCTGACACGGTGACACGATACCAGAACCGGTCCCAGGGGCCGGACATGCGCCATCGGAATGCTGCATCGCCTACTCACGCATGGGGTGAGCTTATGAAAGAGTTGGGATATTGGTCTCTAGGTCAATCAACTCCAACATGTGTGAATATGAATAATTCCGATTCGACTTCTCGCACTTTTGACAAGTAGGTAATGTTGTTTAATTCAGCATGTAAATCTCGCTCTAAAATATGCAGATTGTAGACCGTAACATGGTGCCTCAGATGCCAAAAAAGAAGACTACATTTGAGGCCATATCTCTGCCCTATTTTTGGGCTGCGACCGTCTCGCACCCGGCTCAGTCCCCGCCCCCCCCCCCCCCCCACAATTCGGTGTCGAACACCGGCGTTGGCCCGAGGGCTGGTCGGCCGCGGTCACAAACATGCCACGTCACAATCGGTGAGCGGCGCGACATCGGTTGGGTAACGACTCTAAAGCCGCGGTCTGGCCCACTGAGCAACAATGAGCCATCGCTTGGTGATTTAGAGTGCCACTCAAAGGAAGCGGGCTGAAAGATGTCACCCTGTTTTACTCACCCACAAAACATGCCGATGAATGCCCGTCTTGTTGAGTCGTCGAGTGCCTCGACAATGCCCTCTCCCATCGTCCTCAGGTACCGATATTCCTCCAACGACTTCGGCGTAGCCAGCACGGCTTTTTCCTGTCAACGGATACACATCATAATCATTTTTTGAAGATGCCGATGAAAAGCGATTTTTCTAAGCTATTTAATTACAATGCATATAGTTGATATTGAGGACAGAGACTTATGTACCTTATACATAGGCAAGGTTATTCATGACTTTTGACTTATGTAAGTTGCAAAAGATTATTTGACGCCGTATATTGCCATTCCCTTCGCACTCGGCCGTTTGTTACTCACCCTCCGACAGCCGGATATGGCTTCGTTAAAGTCTATTGGAGACTTAACGTATGCTAATCTGTAGCACAGCTCTCCAAACTTTACATATCCGGGATCACATTGCCCTGGAAAGAACAAATTATTAGTTTTGCGCCCTGAATACTTGTTTTAACAAATAAATATGCTATGTAAATGCAACTTGTTGTAAAAATGACATGTTGATTTTCATCGCTGCAAGTTGCAACAGAGTGCAATATAAATTGCAACAATATTAGAAATGAGCATAAAACATGGTATTTCTCGAACTACTAAAAAAACTATGATAAATATATTGTTTCAGATAAGCGAAGCAACCAAGCACCGTCAGCAGCTTGTTGTCGATGTAAGGAAATGCGTAGCGTTCTGAAAACATGTATGGCATGTTTTACTTCAACGTCACCACAATGGCGGCAGAAAATAAAATCCAGTCTACGCACGTCCTTACTCAACGCGACCTTATTTGCAGCGCTGCAGACGGGCCGTTCAACTCTGAACGCCCGTCGGGCAGCTGAGGTCTATGTTTTAGTAGGGCGGCAGGATGCGATAGAAATGGGCGGCGGTCGGCATTATAGGGCCATCACCACAGCAGCGGGCTGGTAAAGCGGCAGGGTATACAGCAATATTGCAGATGCAGCGAATATTGCAGCGGCACAGCGGCTGAGCGGTCTGACTACACATGGGGCGGCACTATCCACCAGCCGCGGCGACCGCGCCTCTACGGGACAGAGCTGGAGAGAAGCGGTCAGAGGGGCGACAGAAGAGGAGGCAGTCCACCCGTCGGCCAGGCCAGCGCGGCCCGGCCGACGCGGCGTGTGTACAGAAGCTGGCGGCGGTTAGCGGCGCTGCGCCCACGGCTCCCGCATGGTCCTACACCTGACATGTGACCCGTCCCGCCCCCGTGCCCGTGGCCACTTACGGGTCGTCCGTGAGTCGGTCGGCGGCCGGGGTCGCCTCGAGTCCGGTCTCGCGCTCACTCACACACTGTGTCGGCGTCTCTCTGTGAGTCGGGGCGCGCACCAGGAGTGGCCATGCCGACACGAGGCGCGCTGAAAGGTGACGACGCGCGCGCGCAAACCGTTCGACGATGCGACGCGATCATGCCCGACATACGTCAAACGCAGGCCAGCCAGCACCGCGATCGGGCGCCCATGCTGGAACGCGTCCGAGAATACAACCACACTAGAACCGACACCCAAAGACGGTGGAGAGGAAGGAAAGGGGAGTGGTAAAGGGGGTACATACAAGGACAGCGGAACGGAATTCAATTGATAACTTGAGTGAGGTGTAAGTAAGGGAAGGGGAAGGTCTATGGTGGCACATGGACAGAGTGTAGATTTTATGGACAGTGGACGATGAACAGTCTGAAAAGTGGGCGACCGATCAAGAATGGAACTTGCATGCATCACCTCATGCATCACGAATCGGACAGCACAGTACATCCAAAAGAAATCAACTCACTTGCTAGTTGCTACACATATATAAAAATGGTAAACTTGACTACAGACTACTGGCAAAACAGCTATCTCACAGCGGGTCAAATACGATCAAAGTTTAGTAAAGGAGAAGTTATATAGTGAATGGAAAACACCATAGTTAACACCTTCAAAAAAGTCGGTTTGAAAGAACAAGTAAAAGAGAGGAAAACAAATCAAAAAGTGTTAAAAGCCAAGTGTAATTAACTGTTCTATAATTCATGTGGAGCAACTGTGATATTTATTTCCAACGAAAATGTTCCGAGAAAGTAATTTTTTATCAATGAATTACATGTTTTAACATTAAAAGACTTTGAACATACGTTTTCAACAAATGAGTAAGAGCACTTCAATACAAGAGCGCCGTTTTGAGCAAAAAATACAGATAGCTCAGCACATACATAGATTGGCAGATACTACTCACAAGCCAATTAACATCTATAAAACCATCTAAGACGAAACGACAGCACACATATAGGTAGGTACCCCAATGCAGTGCAGTGCATAATGTACCGGTCAGTGTTGTGATTCAAAGTCCCCGCCACCGGTGAGTCCCGGAACAGTCCCGGGTCTCACCGTCAACAGACCTTGACCCAGCCGTCCGCCGTCACACGCGGTCCGGAGACCGAGAGCTGCGAGCGGCCGACGGCTGGGCCAGGTCACCAGATCACGAAACGAGAGCCGGGGAGAGCGCCAGCGACAGATAAAGAAAGAGGGGGCCGAGACGGGGTTCCTTCCAGGGCGAACTGACAGCCGTGATGGTTCGATTACGAGAACCGTTTGAGGCTCAGTTGGTCTGTCATCGCCACTGGAAGAAACCGAGTCTGCAAGAGACCCCAACCATCACCCGTAAGTGCTCCTTACGAAGCTTGCAAACCACGGCCCCCACACACAAGCATGCTCAGAAAGAAAGATGGGGGAAGGAGCCGTTTTAGTGCTTAGTGTTTAGGCTGAGAGGACCATCTACTTAAAGACCGTTAGGAGGATGCGTAGAATAGAGCAGATACTGCGAGCCCTTATCCCTCGTGCACACTCCGCTGTGCGTTACGGTCAAAGTCAGAGAGGTCATAGTCATTCACAAGAACACAATGTTGGCAAACAGGTCAAGTCATGTCGCTGAGGTTACAAACAAAATATGAATACAATTTTCGGCTAACGTCAAAATCGAATGGCAAATGCTATCAAGCGCACTTTGTAGAAATTTATTTTAATTATTTACAAAGAAAAAGATGACAAATTTGTTCGTCAATAATTATCAGTCTTCTTTACAATGAAAATCCTGCCAGTTTCTCTGTCGTCCAAAAGAACATCGTTATGCGTCGCTGATGTGTCCATAACTCATTGTTTATTCAAGAGAACGTCTGACGCGTTCAAACTCTCACTTCCGCCGTTCAAGCGGCTAGAAGGCGTCAGTCAAACTTGTCTCTTATACGCTTTCTAACAAATTTGGGGCTGTCGCTTGCGTAAGACGTCATGCTGTGGGCAGTTAATGTCTAATTGTCAGTCAGTTGGTTCCTAGACCGTTGCAGTCCGGTCTAACGGTCAGTTTTGTCACCAAAAAGAGTGGCACGCTTACATCCCAATTTACTAACAACTAGCACTTCTACACCCTTGACTAACAAAGCCCCAGAGTGCACGTTGATTTTTAACTCGTAAGTCAACACCTCTCCACCCACTGTATTGTCGCTAGGAGTGTTGTATGTATCATGGGAAAGTGTGTCTGCAGGTCGGTATTTATTTATCCCGACTCTGCAAGGTGCTGCGGCGCTGCTCGAGCCCACAAGTCTGAAGAGCCCTCAAAACGTGTGAAGGCTGCAGGTGACTGCGGTCTTCAGGGGCCGCGAAAACATACAATCCCCCATCTGTCGGCATTTTTTCAGCTTTCAGAGAGCGGCGGCAGCCGGGAGAGAGGGCCGGATGGTGCTGATTTCAAGGTGAACCAGGCAGCCGGGAACCATGAGCTGAAGATTTGCTCAGATCCTCTCTGCCCACGGATAACAACTGAGGAATTATAGGGCTTTCAACTCTGTATTTAAGAAAAAAGAAAGAAAATGCATAGCTAGCCTAGAAATAAGTGCATGCTATTACAAACAGCAGCGACTCATTTGTCAATGAAAGAAGCTGAATTTGCTTATGGAAATTTTAAGTAAGCGAAAATGCATTTCAAAGTTTTGATTATAAGTCTTGATCATTTGTTTGTTCCCTGGCTCCCATGAGTGGCGTTCTTCGCATCAATGAAGCCTTGATTAAAGCAATGCCTGCGGTGATATCTTCTTGTGTGCCGTCGCAGTTACCGCCCCTGATACGCTGCTATGCCAAGTTGCAGTTCCCACAGCAAGCTGCGGTGACTTTTGAAACGCATGTGTGCAGACATGGCCCCCTGCAGATACATGAGGAAAGCATTTAAGGTATGCGTGTTTCCAATGAAGGCATATGCGGGTAATCTTTACAGGAAAAGGTCCAGCAGTTGTCAACTTTCCAGCATCCCGTCGTAATATCCTGAAAAGGAGCGATGCGCGCCCGAGCATCGCTATTTTATGGCAAAAAGACAGCTTGAACATCTCCGACCTTCTATTCACGACAGTATCATCGGACACTGGCACGCGGCTGCTGCACATGGCTGACTGCATTACCGTGAATCGTTTCTGCTAGCTGGGGGGGGGCTGTGAGGGGGCGTGGCGGGGTCGTGAAGACCTCCGGGTACTCACGGGAGCCGCAGGGAGGTCCGCCGACGCCCAGCTGGTTGGCAGAGCTCGATCCCACCTTCCGGCCCTGAAACGGTGCAGACCAACAGTACACGGATGGAGACTCGGGTCGGCGAGCTGCACTGCGCCACACATGCTCAGGGGGTAGAGAGGCTCTCCGGGGCCGGGACGGGTCGTTCCCAGCCCCGGGCGCCAGACGGGCTCAGCGGGGTGCCGGGGTGCGTGCTGCGTGCGTGTTATCTGATTAGCCAGCCGCCGCGCCGGTTAGAGTTACAACGTTTCGTCAGTTCGCGGAGAAACGAGTTGTTTTGGTCATGTAACACAAAGTCTTTGACATGTTTACTGTCATGAGGTTATGAGGATCGGGATGATACGGATCTTATCGGCTTTTACGTAATATATGCTTCGGTAACATGTCACTCTGAATTGTTTCGTGACTGAGGGTCACGATGAAAGTATGCATACAGATTTTCTTCGGCAATATTTTAGCTTCCCTGCTAGTTAGAATTCGGTATTTGAGTAATTCATTGTAATTTTCTCCCGATTTCTCGGCTCAAAATGCTGAATGAAGGGCAAAATGCAGCGATGTTCTTGCTGATAAAAGTCGTATATTTCTTCAACTGAATCGCTGTCTTTTCTCGACTCATCGCACGGCTCTTTCTGGGGCGCTGATAGAGCCTGACCTACAGGTATCTCTTTCTCCTGGGCCGGCCGAGAGCGGCCCCGAGACCGGCCGATCGAGCGAACCCGACTGACCGAGCGGGACCCGAGGCGCGACCGGCAGAGCGTCGGAGAAAAAGAGCGCCGGACAACGGCCGTGCATACCGGATGAGCGTTAAAGTGGGCCGCGCTGGCCGTCTCTGGGACAGGTTCCGTCAGTGACCGGCCGGCCGGGTCAGCGCGCCGCGCCGCTGCCGGGGCGGTCCGGTAGCCTACATACCGGCGACCGGCTGGGCCAGATTCGGGCCCGCCTGTCTGCCCGCTGCAGCCGCTATCTCCTCCGAGCTGCGGGCTGTCGCACGGTGCCCGGTCGCGGAAACGAGCTTTAGATTCGCATTATCTAACTACCTACTGAAGTTGAACGAAAAGACACGGGTCGTGAATATGTGAGGAAAGATACCTATTCGTTTACCAGTAGCCATAAATCTAACAGCAAAAATACCAGGAACATGGGTCCTTTAAAAAAGGAAGGGTACTTCATTCCAGTTGATACATTTGTGCTACAGCGAGAATTTTCCCGAACTAAAAACATCAAAATTGTTTCACGACACACAGGTGCAGTGAGCACAGATCGTGGGAGGGAGCTCCAATGGCTTGTAGGTCTATTTGAACAAGAAGCAACAGCGCATTTCGAGGAATTAAAACCGTTACAGCTGCAGCCGAGGCGTTGCATAGCGGTGAAGCGGGGAATTTCTCTGTCGGCAAGTGCATGCGCGACATGCAGTCAAAATTCCCAGACTGGGTTAAGCTATGCGGCATACTGTAAACTCTGATTAATTGCAATGGGACTTGGAACGTGCTATTCACACGGCTATACATACGAGTAGTCATGATGGTTACATAAGAAGTCGATTTCGTGACGGCCAAAGCAATGGGCGATAAAAATAATACTTTAAGCGTACATTTGTAAAACCATTATTGGTAAGTTGACGATTGGCGATCACCATGCATGACACGTTACACAGACAAAAGAAACTACTGTATATGCTAATGCATAGTTTATCCGTAGTAAGTAACATTTCGCCGATAACCAAATGAATTTTGCAGACACGTTGCAACTAGAAGTGTTTCTTAGCATCAACTAAAGCTTTTTTGCCCAAAATAAACAACAAATCGCCATTTGATACCTAAAGAACGGTAGCATGCGTGTATGGGAAATTAGGGAAATGAAGACTTCCAGTTAGCGGTAAACCTTATAAGTCGTACGAAGGTAATTTGTCAGTGCTCACGATGCTAGTTCGTAAATACAAATGTGCATGCGATTGGTTAGCATTATGGCAATTTGCGAACAGTTACGTCCGGAAAAATAGGTATAAAGTTACAAATAAGATCAACAGGGAAAAGTTTCATTACATTTTGGTATAAACAATTTTCATCGAAGCAATTTCATAGCTAATGTTTGAAGAACTTATATTATTTTGAATAAGCATGACAAAAGAACAAAAGCTAAAACACAAAAAATAGCATGCCGAAGTAGCAAAAGTTTTTCTTGTTTAAAAAAAAATCATCATCTACATTTTTTTCACTTTTCGACCAACGGTTTGCCATGCTGGGTGATGTAATAAGTAATGGTTGAATAGATAAAATATAATAGACTAAACCAAAATAAATCAATCACCTTTTGAGCCTCATATGACACCCTTAGGTACACAATTCACCTAAAGTAAAGCGGCAATCAGTTGGCTCGGTGGAGTGTCAATATAGCAGCGCACGCAGTCACGCACCCCGGCCCCGTCCCGTGAGCTCGCGAGGCGCCGAGCCGGCGCGACGGGCTCGCTCTCTTACCAGGATTCCCTGCTGGGGGCTGGCGGCGGCCAGCGCCAGGCAAGCGGAGAGGAGCGTCACCAGCCTCATGTTTCTGGCAGCACGTCGTGAGCGCGACTGACTGGCGAGCGCCGGCGCCGGTGACCATCTGGCCGAGCGCGGCGACCTAGAACGGCGCGGCGCACCGCCGCCGGCGCTGGCTGCGCCCGCCCCCGGTCCGACGGGCTTCCCCCACCGGGCAGAGCTGGGCCGAGAGCAGCGGCCGCGGAGGAGGCGGCGGCGAAGGAGCTGGATCACTCGGAGGGCACGGACAATGCGGAGATATAGCTTGCAGCGACTCGGACAGCTCAAATCAATACAGTACGACAGGATTAATTGCAAAAACATCGTGTGCAATATGCATACAAACATGACTTACTAAAACACTTCACAGCATATGTAATAATGACCACAAACAAATATACTTTGCCCATCACTTCTTAATCAAAATTATATTGATAAGCCTAAGCCTAACCCAACTTGATACCTAAACAGAAAAAAATTACCTTTTTAGAACACGCTTTCAATGTCCGGTTTGCGTACCTTCGTGCTTTCTTCGCGTGTTATTTCAGAATAATGTAACTAACCCGCGACCTGGTGGGGGGGGGGGCTATTTTTTGCCCCCCCCCCCCTCCAGACTTTTCGATATATCTCCAGAACCGCTCCTCCGATCGTCACCAAACTTTCAGTACCCTCCCGGACATCAATTTTACACATTGTGACCAAAAAATTTTCTAAAGGCTATGATAGGTTGGCCGGAAATGACGTCAGAGTGACGTCATGTTCTGCCTTTTTTGACCCAAAAAAGGGTTTCGCGGGAAGAGCTGTCAGGCCTATAGCTTTGCGAATACAGAAAAATGATAAAGACATAAAAGCTGTAGATTGGACCGGGCTACAAAACTGCTATCTCGGATTTTTGAAATTTTTCGATTTTGACCCCCAAAAATCAAAAATTAGATTTTTTGAATATAATAATCGAAAAATTCAAAAAAAAATTGAATTTCGCAAAAACCGGAATATATGTGATAGTCCTTACCGCCTTCAATACACATACCAAATTTGAGATTGATACCTCTTTTTTTGGCGAAGTTATAGCGAAAAAACTGTTCAAAATTGATGACGTCAAATTTTCAAACTCAATTTTTAGCAATTCTAGACCCCGTAGCGCAAAACAAAGACCACCATTAGACTCCCCGTGACGAGCTGCATCGAATCAATACCCATTTTATGCAAAACTATCAACTTTAAAATTTGACCTTTTTTGGCCTGACCTTGACCTGACCTTGACCTGAACTTCACCAGAAAGTGACCTAAGCCGTACCTGATAGTCTTATAACCAACACCATTGAGTTGGAAATGAAAAATTGGCCATAAAACATGTATCACACAACCTTAGTAAAGTTGGGCTCATGTGACCTGACCTGTGACCCTTGGTGACCTGACCTGTGACCTGACCTGGTATTGCCAGTGACCTCTAATAGCAACATATCTACTAGGCAACTGACGCCCTACCGCTGATTATCGACAAAATGCGTTTTCCTCGGTGTTATAGCGCATTCCCTAGAAGACCCGTGAACGGTGAACCATTTCATCTTTGACCTGACCTGTGACGTCATCGGTGACCCCGAGGTCAATGAAATTTGGTTTCCTTCGACAAATTTGACAGGCCTTTCGAACGCCGTTTGAATTTTGCGGATCCGTCCAGTAGTTTCGGAGATACGAGGGGGGCAAAGAATAGTCCCCCCACGTCGCGTTATAAACAGACCCCACCAGGGCACGGGCTAATTATCAAAGTTAAAAAAAAAAATCAAAATACCTATTACATGAAATAAAAATTCCACGAAGATTACGAGTCCCTTTGCCAACAGATATGCACGCCAAGAAATTACTGATATGATGACATATTAGGCACAGTATTTCAAATTGTGGCCAAAAAAATGCAAACGATCATTGGAAGATCGCAATGTTGATTATTACAAAAAAGGTTAAGATGACTCTCAGGATAGGAATATGACTAGCTTTGCCCGTAAGTGCAGAATCCTAGCAATAGCCAATAGTGGAGCAATAAATTGTAAAGTGCTCATGTATTTCTACATTCTATGTATAAATATTTATTTAAAAAAGTACCACATAAGTACGAACTTACACTTTACCTATACTAAAACCCTTATACACATTTCATAACGCACTGCGACGCAATAGCTTCATTATCGACCAAAACTAACGCTTTAAATATGCCAAGTCATTCTATAGGCTGGCAAGTATCGAGCATATCGTAATGAGGTATATTACTTCAGCATTACGTTGTGTTTTCTGTGGCAGTGATGCAAGTATTATTCAAAGCTGCATCTGATTGTCAGGTAGGCCGTGGACGTCATTAATTACAGCGCAAATGCAAACTCATCGCCACTCAAAGGAGCCGCCTTATGCTCAGCCAATAGAGACCATGGGTTTCTTCAGCTAACGAACACAATAAACGATGCATCTCGGTGTTGGTCCGTTCGCTGGAGTGTCCAATACAACTTCACGTTACACTCCAGTGCGTAAATAGGTTACGGGGAAGTTACGCGCTGCTCACAACTATGACGTCCGGTCATGCTCGTCAGAGTACCGCTCCGCAAAAGCACGGCTGCAGTTTCCATGCCGGATCTGCACCCGGTTGGCTCTGAGACCGGGGGAAACCTTGGCCGTGACGGGGGCATCACGAGTCGGAGCGAGGGTCGTCCTGCCGGTGGCCGTGATTTATTCACACAGGTCCGGACCGACTGGGGGGCGGAGACGGGTTTTTACTGGCCCACCGACCGTGAACCTACTGCCCAGACCGACTTCCTGATCTCATCTTTGTGTGTCGCATTGCCATGAGGGTTCGGTGGTGAAACTAATTTGATTTTAAATAGACCTGGCATGAAAAGTGCTCAGAGAAATGCATGCAATGAAGTATGACGAATGGTAAAAAGTTGGGTGAGAAGCGACAGTGGGGTGGCTGCATTCCATATCACCTAGTACAGCGCTGCAGTGGATAATTCTCACGGTGGTCACGAAACACTGTGGATGACACCAAAGCCGAACGAAAGGGGCCTCGGCAGTGTCCTTGAGGATGAGTGTCCCTAAATTCGTAATAACCGCAATGAAGTCCTTCGGTTCCCAGACTAATTGGCGAGTATTGCGTGCCGAGTCAGCGCTACCCATTTGCTTACGCAACATCGTTCATTGTAGTCCTTTAAACGTATTATGAGACATAATGTAACGTGAGCTTACACTGCATCCAAAAACATTTGATTCATTAGTAGCTCACTTTTGGATGATCTGTATTAGAACTGTGTTTAATATGTGTGTGCCTGTCAAATTAGCGGTAATAACAATCAATGGATCTGATAATCAACGGTGGCTGGTCAGTGGGTCTGGGATCGGTCAACCTCGACAGAGTTTTTCTGGCACTCGAAGAAGAGTAATCGCGGGAAGGTTTAACCAGACAGTGCTCAAAAGATTAGCGGGACCTTGAGACGGCGCAAATGCCTTTTTTGTAAGCTGTCTGTATTGGTGAACCGGTGATGAAGATGAATGTGTCTTTAACCCGCGCGGGGCTGGGGGGGGGGGGTAAATTTTACCCCCCCCCCTCGCGAATTTTTGCAATATATCAAAAACGGCGGCGCGCAGCGCCGCCAAACTTTCAGTACCTTTTCTTACTTCAATTTGACACGTTCCCTGAAAATTTGAGCGAAATCCGTCGGAAATTTTTGAAAAATTGACTTTTAGTGACGTCATGTTCGCCATTTTCGCCTCAAAAACGGCAAAATTTCAAACGCCGCTAACATCTTCATTTTTAAAGGAATCAAGACGTAACAAAAAAGGTTATACGTAATTCTACTTTGTCTATCAAATGACTATCTCGGTTTTTTGAAAATTTTGGATTTTGGCCCAATATTTTTTTTCTTCAAAAAACTGACTTTTCTGGGAAAATAATTATAAAATCCAAAATGTTGAGTGTATCGAAAAAACCGGAATATATGTCAGAGAAGTGATCTATGTGCACCTACATACCAATTTTAGAAGAATCGGTTCAAAAATGTTGGAGTTATTCAAAATTTTATGACGTCACGACACAAAAATTTGAAAAATGATTTATTTTTTTTGGAAGTTCTAGACCTCGTACGGAAACAAAAACAGCACCATTCGATTCGCCGTGAAAAACTGCATCAGATAGACACCTTTTA